TATATCATTCAGTGGGTGTGCAGGACATGTTAATAGTGTCTAACGGGGAGTAAATTTTGCCCCAGAGACATCTATTTGTTGAATGCTGAAAAATAAGAGTCTTGGTGAGAGGAGGGGTCATCTTTTCTCCAAATAGCTGTGTGTCCTGAAGGCTGCTGTGGCTGGCTGCCTCTTACAGTCACGGAGAAGCATGATATGGAGGAGGTAAATGAGAGGCAGATGATAGGAGCAGACAAGTGAGGCCAAAGGACAGGACAGATAACTTGGCAGGTGTGTTCAAAATCTAGACTGAGAGACACAACGCATGTGGAAGACTGGCTGAAAGAAAACCAGCTGAAGGCACAGCCGCAGAGAAGGCAATGCTGCCTTAGTGAAATGGGGAATTCTCTGGAGGAAGGGAGAGAAGAGGAAAAATGGCTCTCAATTATCCATGTTGTCTCTCCTGACCAATCATCACGGATGATGAAGAGGTGCAATAAAAGCTAATATTCAATTTTTCCAATTTACATGGAAAGAAGGCCATAATATATTAATAAGGGGAAGAAACTGCAGGTTACCAAACAGTGTGTACACTGTGAGCTCATATTTGGAACATATTTACATTCAGAGAAACAGTGTATGGATTATTATTTTTATCATCTGTATCTTCTACAATTATAATGTATTAAAACTGTTACAAGAAAAACCCATCATTTTGAGCTTTTGTATGAATAATGCCTATGCAATCAACATATACACAGTACCCACTATGTGCCGGGCATGAGAACTAATGCTGCTCTCAGCACTCAGCCTGCGAGTTCTGTGGCTTTGCTTAATAAGCAGTCTACTCTTACTGACTGGTTTGTAAGTATTTTAATAGATAAAATGATCTTCAAATTGATCTAATGATTATATTTTATTTACTTATAAAATATTTATATTTTACAAATAAAATACATTTTATTTACTTATTTTAAAAATACATATTTCAGAGAGAGTAGAGAGCTCTCCCATTTACTGCTTCGCTCCCCAGATGCCTGTAACAGCCATGGCTGGACACAGGCTGAACAAGTCCAGAAGACAGGGACACAATCCATATTTTTCAAGTAGGATCCAGTGAATCAAGCACTTGTTGCCATGCATTAGCAGAAAGCTGGATTTAAAAGCAGAGACAGGCCCTGAACCCAGGTACCCATACAGGATACGGGCGCTTCGAGCGCATCTTAAATGCTGTACCAAATGCCCACCACTACATTCTCTTATTTTTAAAGACTTATTTATTTGAAAGACAGAGTTAAAGAGTGAAAAGCAAGAACCAGAGGTAGATAGACAGACAGACAGATAGATAAATAGATAGATAGATAGATAATCTTCCATCCATTAAGATGGCCACAATAGCCAAGGTTTGAACAGGCTAAAGCCAGGGGCCAGGAGGCAGGAGCTTCTTCCAAGACTCCCACGTAGGTGCAGAGGCTCAAGGACTTAGGCAATCCTCTGGGCGCTTTCCCAGGTACATTAGCAGGCAGCTGGATAGGAAGTGGAGCAGATGGGACTGAAACTAGTGTTCATGTGGTATGCAACTGTTGCAGGAGGTTTAACTTGCTGCACCATAGCATCAGCCCTACAGCTGCATTCTTAAAATGATGGTGAAATACGTGGAATGTAAAATTTAACAGCTTAAGCATTTAAATGTACATTTTAGTGGTATTCTGTAATCTTGCTGTGCAGCAATCACTGCTAAATTATTTACTTATTTAAATAGATTTTATTTTTTTAAAATGATGATTACATGGTGGATCAGGGTGGGAAGAATCAAGGTTTAGGGAAAATTGGGTATACTCACTGCTTCCAAATTTGCTATTTCTTCTTGTTGTTTCTGGTGGAAGGGGGGAGACAAACGAGGAAACCACTCATGACTTTCCACACGTACTAGTACCCAGGGATGAGGAACTGCTACCTGATATTAACCCAGAGAATCATCAACCATCTTCACATTTTGTAAAACATAAACTTATACCAATTTAAACAACTCTGCAGAGTGATGCTGGCATCTCAAACGGGCACTGGTTTATGTCCCAGTTGTTGTACTTCCAATCCAGCTCCTTGTTAATCAACTGAGAAGAGCAGCAAGAGATGGCCCAGTGCTTGGACCCATGGCACCCATGTGAGAGACCTGGATGCAGTCCCTGGCTTTGGCTTGGTCCAATTTGGGCCATTGCAGCCAATTGGGAGTCAATCAGTGGATGGAAAATGTCCTCTCTCTCCTTCCTCACTCCTTCCCTCTCTCTTTCTTTTCCCTCTCTCTTTCTGTCTGCAAAGAGAATAAATAAAGAGAATAAGTAAATAAAAGAGAATAAGTAAAATAATAAATAAATAAAATAAGTAAATCTTGAGAGAGAGCGAGAGAGATGGGGGAAGATGTCTTATGATAAACTGGAAACTGTCTACTTAAAAAAATAAAGCACTTGTTCTTCTCCCACCTGGCAGAGCACACAGAGACCACATCTAGTCTTCTATAGGATGATCTCACGTTTAGGCATGCAGAATTTTCCATGGGAACTGGGTCAAGGAAGGCAATTTATTCCCTGTTTGCTTTCGTGTATGTGTGCAGGATATTTTTTCCAGCACACAGAAATTGCAAGTAGCTATTTGGTGTCTTCTCAGGCTGTTACTTCTCCATAGCCAGAAGGCCAAATCTGTTTTTCTAGAAAACTTTTCTTGTAACTCAATTAATGCCAAGTTCATGTCTTGTAGCAAAAGTATCAATATAGAAAAATGCAAGCTGGTGTAGGAAATTGTTAACTTACAGATCAAATTACGCTTTTAAAATTTCAGTTGTTTTTTAAGAACATATTCTGAAAAAAGCCCTCTTGAAAGGGAACTTATTTTTCAGTGTATAGCATGAATGTTGTTATCTATGTTTTTATAGATCCAACACTTTAAATGGCTACAGACAATAGTTTCTTTAAAAGCCTGTACCTATCTGTTACAACTAAAACATTTACTGCATATAACTTTTACCTCAGGATATTTTCTAAAAAAGAAACTGACAATTCCATTAGTGTAGTTTCTCACAAAACAATTGAGAATGGTTTTTTTTTTTAAGGCCAAACATGGCAGGTGTCCCTGTGGAAGGAACACTCACCACATTGTCCTCACAATGCCAGATATTTAACGGAAATCAGAAAAATTCAGTTCCAGATGCCAATACTGGGCCTACATGACATCATTCATGCAGATGCATGGAAAATCTGGACTTTTAAGAATTGAATTTTTGTGGTCAGCATCATGAATTCTCAGTTTCTGCATTAAATCGGGTGTTTGTGAAACAAAGTTATATTGGAATATAACTCAACTTGACTGTAGAGAAATAAACGGAATGGAACACCACGCGTGATTTGGGGCTGTGGATCACATTTTCCATGGAAGGTACCATGGAAAGTGCAGACAGACATTCCCAAGTTGCTTTCTTCAGGTTGTTAGTAAAGCAGGGTGGTTGTTCAGGGCTTTGAGAAAAGAAAGGCAGTCATCCAGGAGGGAGTCATGGTCCTGCAGGTCTCCCTCTGGCGTGGTGCTCAAACAAAGAAGCCAAACACGCAAGATTCAACTCTGTTCTTTTACTTTCAAGATTTCGAGGTAGTTATGCGACTTCCAATTCACTAGGAATGGACTGGAATATTTGAAGGTGTGAGAGAATAAATAACAGAGAGGAGCTTACGGGAGGTATTGAAGAACAGCTTCCTCCCAGATGCTCAAGGGGAGCCAGTTTGAGAAACCAAAGTGGGAAATGCAAGAGTTAACCTCCTCCCTCCCAGCTCAGCTCCCCAGCTCCTCCCAGCTGCCTGCTGGCCCAGGCTGTACTTTCTGTGACCCCAAGGAAGGCTTCAGAGGCACTGCAGGTTAACCTATGCTGTCGACATAGTAATAAACTAAAGGGGAGGGGGGGTACAAATGGACCTAGGAAGGCAGATTTTTGCTGCTCCTAAGCCCCTGGCCATTGCCTGACAAACAGATGAATAGTTATAGATCAGGCGCCTGCAGATTACACACCAGGCCTCTGCACGGAATTGCTCAGAGAATTCTTCCAAACGCGGCACTGACAGCCTTGGAGAAAATGCTTTGTGTCAATGATGATAACGCATGGCTGTGTGCTACTTAGGAAATCAGAGAGTGGTTGCTCTTGGAATTTGACTCTAATTTCATCTCGGATGCCTCCAAATTCCATGGCACATGCTACACTTGAACTTCTCCCCCGCCCCCCAAAGCCTTTCATTTTGTCTGGATGCGCAGCAGCCATCCCCAAAACTTTTTTGTAAGAGACCTTTTCTCCTTTACCTATTCCAGTGCAAAATGCAACTGTCTATTGACAGACAACCTCCAGATATCCCGGCAGACTCTTCCCTCAATTGCCTGCCGCGAAAGCCACATTTCAGTCACACACTATACTGCGCCCTCCTTGCACCATGCACCCCTGGGGCCAGCAGTCCCTACTAACTAACTTTCTCTATTTCTGGATCAACATCAGCAACTTAATCAGGTCCATAAGGCCTTTCTTTCCTTTTTCTGTTAGAAAGCTTGCCAGGTTCCTGGGGACCCTCTAATGAGCAGAGGAGTGGCTGGTCCCTTCCACTCCCAGCATGCACTCCTGGTAACCAGATATTTCTCTGCAGGATCTGTAGGGGCCCTCTTCTGTCTGCTTGTATCAGAAATGCTGCATACTGTAGAAGAGGGAGCGCGCTATGGAGCCCTAGGGACCTTCCTTTGCTATTCTAAAAGCAACTCTGCTCTATTCCTTCAACACAAGAAGCAACAAACAAAACAAAACAAAACAAAACAAAAACAAAAAGAACCCAGGCAACGTGTTCTATGGAAACTTAGCTGAAGGGTGGGGAGGGATGAGGTCAAGAGTAAAGGGGTTGAAGAAAGGCTGGGAAAGGCGGCTTGTGCCCAGAGACAAGTTAAAATGCACCTGCTGAATAAAACAAGCTGCACCACATACAGAAAAGATGAGAGCGGCCCACCTGTGTCTGTTGAGGGATATTTACAAAGCTTGGATCCCGTGGTCCAACACTGACGAATCGGTTTGCGGGGGAGGTGCTGGGTGTCGAGTAGGCTGTGAAGGGAAGGGACACATGCGTTCAGGAAGCGGCATGAGATTGCACACACAAACAACACCAAAACACACAGTCTCTGAGCCTAGGCAGCTGATTAACAAGGAAATGTGCAGACACTGTAGCTAGCGGAGGGATCTGGCTGGCCAGAGGATTTCAGACAGCTTCTAAAGGGTGGGGTGGATGGGGAAGGGGAGAGGTTGGCTTTTAGGGATTACTAGAATACAACAAAGTCAAATTGGTGCTCAGATGAGCTTTCTCCTTCTCTCATACAAATCAGAGCATGCAGGATGTTTGCAAAGTATACCTGCTATATTAAACAGGAACTCGGATCAGAAAGAGATGTCCTAGCCTTTAGAGCGGGGGAGAAAGGAATTAGCTAGGAGAGGGAAGAAAGCAGTTCATGTTAAGCTTTGTTTTTCACATTGTTACACTCCTGCAAATTATGAGCTAGGCCTCTACTACTCCACAGGACAGTGGAAGCTTTACAGGAGGAGTTTTAACTTAAGTTTAACCCCGTAGGTTTCTCCAGGAGGCAGGTGGAAATCCATGTAAGAACAGGCCCAGTGAAGAGTCTAGAAACTGTACAGCACACAACATAGGCTTAAATAAGAACATTTGTAACCTTCCCATCCAAGATCTTTCTGTTCAGGTACAACTTTCAAGGCCCACGTAAACCAAGATTTCACACTGGGACCTCAGGTGTCACACTTGAGATTACTGTCCTGTCTACAGTACTTGGGCACTTGGTTGTTGGTTTTCATGTTTGTATTTGAGAGTTTTGCTAGAGAAACAATTCACTGGTGTTGGTGTTTCATTGGCTCACAAGCCCAAAGTTACCTTTCAGATTTTGGCATCCTGCAAGTCATGTCATTACTGCAAGACCCAAGAATTAATTCACATTCTTTCTTTGTAATAGAACCTTTTTATTATTGCTTAAAATAATCTCAAGTATCTCAACAGCAATTATAAGAAGCCTAAATTTTGGTACTAATCCTAGGAACCATTGAATAGAAAAGCGAGGAGGGTGTTGTGGCATAGTAGCTTAAGTGGCAGATCAGCCAATACTGCATACTCAAGTGTTTGGTTCCAGTCTAGGCTATTCTGTGCTTCTGATCCACCTTCCTGCTAATGTGTGGGGGCAGTAGCAGATGATGGTTCAAATATTTGCGTCCCTACCACCCAGGAGGCAGACCTGGCTAGAGATCCTGGCTCCTGGTTTCAGCCCAGCTCCAGGTATTATAGGCATTTGAGCAGTGAACCAGTAGACAGAACATCTCTGTCTTTCTTCCTCCGTTGCTGTCACCCTTTCAAACAAATAAGTCTTAAAAAAAGAATGAAAAAATGGATATACAATTTTTTTTAAAAAAAGATTTATTTATTTTTATTGAAAAGTCAGATTTACAGAGATGAGGAGAGACAGAGAGGAAGATATGTCTGCTGAATTCACTCCCCAAGTGACCACAAAGGCTGGGTCTCCCATGCTGGTGCAGAGTCCCAAGGCTTTGGGGGCATCCCTGAATGCTTTCCCAGGCCACAAGCAGGGAGCTGGATGGGAAGTGGCGCTGCTGGGTAACAAATTGGTGCCCATATGGATCCTGGCAGGTGCAAGGCGAGGACTGAGTCACTCGGTTACAGTGCTAGGCTCCGCAATAGGCTCCTATTTGCATTTTTAAAAACACAGACAACTGAGGGAACAACACTGAATTCCTACCATAATTTTTTTAATGATAGTTATCTGCTTCTCAAACTTTGATTTTTCTCTTTTGATAATACTGCTCACAGTTTGCATTTTCCTTGTAAAACATTTTTAGGAATAAAATTTCCACCAATCTAGCCCCATTGCTCTTGGTGGTCTTTGATAAGGGCTACGCCACCCACACAGATCTGTGTTGGACACATGGATGTACATGTGACAGTGTAAACCACAGTCAGCAAAGGATGACCAGGTGGGGCCTCTGAAGTATTCCCATGAGATTTCTGTTGTAAAAGTCTTTTTTCCCTAAGAGGATTTACCCAGTGATGATTTTATACAAAATGATCTCAAGTGTTTGATCTGTTGTATCATTTAGCAACCTGACCACTGATTTGCTCCTTGGTCCACCCTATATCAGACTAACTTGAACAGATTTGAGAAACATCTCTGAATTCAGCCATTCAATGTTTCCTGCACTCAACAGGCATGCAGGTCATTTACTTTCTTGTAAGAGGCTCAATAGAATTTTGTTATTTCTGCTTCTTTCAGTCTCTGACTTTACTTTGATATGCCAATATAGTTGGATATGAAGTATGAACAGCAAATGACAAGTGAAAGACGGTGATTCCCCTGGTATTGCATTCATCTATTCCTAGAACATGGTGTGGGGATGAGAAGGGAGCTAGGAAATGAGATAACCTACTGGGCCCATGGGTAGTTAGGGAGGCAGGGCTCATCCGTATGTAAGTAGTAGGTAGGTTAGAACGCACAAAGATGAATGAAGAAAGTTTTCCGTTTAAATAACTGATGGCAGACAATGCGGGTTCTCGGTTTGATATCCCAGGAAAATGGTGTATATTGGACTAATGCTTATCACAGAGAAGAAGTACAATTTCAGAGACAGCCCTCCTACCCACTGGCTCACTTCTCAATGCTCACAATGGCTGGGGCTGAACCAGCATGAAGCTGGGTGTCTGAGAACCCAATTTTGGTCTCTCACATGCTTCAGGACCTAATAACTTGATCCACCACTGCTACCTCCCAGGGTCCGTATGGGTAGGAAGAAGCTACAGCTGGGTATTAAACCCAGAAATTCTGATATAAGATGTAAGTATATTAATCATTAGGTCAAATGGCCATCCCTCCTAATTACACTTTTACCATCCTGGTGACATCATTCACAATCACATTACTTCATTTAAGTGTATATACTGTGGATCAGAAAAAGGTAATTAAATTTGGTAAAATATTTGTATTGTACCCCACTCTCTATTTTGCTTGATGTAAATGTTGCCCTCTGAAAAGATGTTTTGCACAGAAAAAATTTTTAGGTACCTCAAACTGCTCTGAGGCTAACAGGCATTTTCTCTCCTCCAATCAAAGGACATCTCACAGTGTCAGTTTCAGAACACTATGAAGATCTGTAACGAATGTTCTCAGGTGTTTCTAAGAATGTTACAGTCTTCTGTTCTTTTTTCCCCCAAAAGAGAGCAATGATGAGAGAATACTTTGCATTTCAAAGATGTGTGTGTGTGTGTGGTGGTGGATACTATATCTATAAAACTGCGCATTGGGGGTGCTCAGATCATAGGATGGGATAAATGGTGCCCAGAGAAACTTATTCTGTTGGAAGCTATTTCATGGGAAAATTCAAGGCCATGGAGAAAAGAAGGAAAGGAAACAAGTAATCCTATCTCATTTTCCAAGACTACAGCTAGAACAGTCCAGGGGATCACCTATGACAGGATGTTGGCTCAGAAACAATATCAAAGCTAAAGTTAAATTTTCCAAAGAAACAGTGGAATAAGGGAGTCACACTGATGAACAAAATCTCAAGTGAAACTGTATACTGAAACAACTACAGCAGTGGATGTTTTGGAGCAGTGGGTTTAACAGACTCTTGGATTATTTGCACCCTGTACTGCAGGACTGATTTGAGATCTTGCTACTTTGATCCAGTTTCCTGTTGATGTCCTCTGGAAGCAGTAGAGCATCACCCACATGGAGGATACTGATGGAGGTCCTGGCTCCTGGCTTCAGCCTGGCCCAGTTCCAAGTGTGGATGTAATTTTGGGCAGAGAACCAGAAGGTGAAGGATCTCTGGCTCTCTGTCACTCTGCCTTTCAAATGAATAAATAATTCCTAAAAAAATCTTAAATATTTTTAAACATTAAAAGCAACCACATACACCATAGGGAATCAATTATGCATGCAAAGTTAAGAGCTTTGAAAATGAATATAAAATCAAGTAAAGGGGCAGTATGGTAATTAATTACACACAACTGTGCTTACTATAATATTACATCACATTCATCTCTTTCTTAATTATAATTCTTGTCTTATTTACAACAGCAATAATCAAATGCCACAGGAAAAGCTTTGGGCATGAAATTCAGAAGATGATTTCTTGCAGAGATTCCTAGAGACATGTTGAGAATTCTGGAGGAGAGATTCAGGAATTCTTGATGACTTTTTGATAAAGTCAATACGAAAACCAATCTGGTCATATAATCTCATTTCAAAGTCACTGTGGCAAGCATTTTGTTAGAAATCAAATTATTCATTATTTGGCTGCTTGTGAAATAGCAAGTGTTTGCTTTTTTAGCAGTAATTTTCTTCTACACTAGTAGCATTGCTAGGGGCCATTTTCCTAACATTATGGAGGAACATTCATGCAAGAGGCTCTACCAGTGTTATTTGCGCTAATCTCAACAGATGTTTCCTCTCTCTAATTGAGTTTCTCACATTATCAAAGTCTTAGTTTGGCCATCAACACAGCAGTATCAAAATCCCAAAACCAAATCTGGTCTCATATCCAGAAATAATATTTTTCTGTGTTGCCCAACCTCATCTCACAGGTGTTGTTAGTTCTGTGATCCTTCACTTGGGCAATACAAGTCCTCCACCTGTAAGGTAGGATCTTTATACACAGATCGACCTGTTTACAGGGCTGCTGAAGAAGCTGAACACGACAGAACGTGGGGTGGGAAGGAGGGAGGAGGTGGAAATGCATCAGCTCTGCTCTCACAGCTTGGCCTCTGGAACTAGGATGGCTCAGCTAGCATCTCCTGAGAAGTGAAGGTGGTTGACTCCCTGCCAAGTCAAGCATACGTCTTGTTGTGGTGTTCCTTACAGTGTTGATTTCTTTAGTTCTTTTCCTGAGTAAGAAGGAATATGGGATGTATCTGGCACAGGAATTATGACATTTCCAGATGTAATGTTGCATCTGCAACAACCTCACTCAATAATTAATCCTGAGCATGATGTTAAGAACATGGTGGTATAGCAAGTAAAGCTGCCACATGT